CAGAAGAATGTATGTAATTGTTTAAGATTTATTACATCAACACTGTAGAATGCACAAACCATCATGGTTCCCAGCAAAAAAATGCTCATCTCAAATTATTCATTCTTTTTTTTTTGATGCTCAAGTCATAGAATATTCAGGTGTTTCATAGTGCACCTCTTTTAGAAAAACTAAAGGTGGCATGCATTACAAGTAATTCTGAATTCTATTATCCAAAGGTTTTATCAAGGAAATCAGCTGCAGATAGTTTCAAGGTGAACAGAAGACCATAGAAAAGGAGGATTATTGGATCCTTTTCTTTCCAGCTGTGTCTGTGCTCAAAATTACTGTTTCTAGCACCCTCAGATGGTTTTCTATCTAATACATAAAATATATCTTCAAATCCTTCATGTTTTGGTCAGGATCAAAACGTGTGGGTGTAGGCTGAGAAACAAATAGTTTAAAGTGAAATAGCTATCTCCCTGTTCTTTGTTCATTTTTCAAGACCTCAAAAGCTGCTTTTCGCAGTGTGAGAGATCCTAAGAGAAAAAATAGCAGAAATTGTCATACTGGCCAGAATCTTATTACATTTACAGTATACACTAGCATAAATGCAACAGTGTAAATTATAGCAGCAAACTGTCACTAGATATGGAGTTGCTGCTTGCATTTTTCATTACATGTGAAGTCATGAGGCTGGTACATGTTAAAGGAATAGAAGCAGCAACTCCTTAACTAGCAGCAATTTTCTGCTGCCATTGTTGCATTGACTCTGGTGTAGGTAAGCATAGATTTCTGTCCACTATGTAGTTCCATACTGCATGAGCTTTCACAGATGTTTACCAAAATATCCTTAAATAATCTACTTTGACTTTAGACATCACATGAACACATGGTGTAGTCTTTCACAGATTTTCATCAGCAGATGGCACAATTGTTACAAGATTGTATTATTCAAATACACAGGTGTGAAGGAAGTTACAGGTGGTAGCCATATTAAATCTTTTGCAACAAGAATAATGAATCATGTAACAAGACACCTGGAGGAATACTTAGGTAAAAAACTTGTTAATTTTTAAGGTGCCACAAGATTCTTAGGTGTGGAGGAAGCTGCATTTACAGCATGCTTTAGATGTGGGAAAGATTTTGAAACAATTTGTTATGTTTTCTGAGGAGGTAGTTGGCTGGATAGTTCAGCAAGTTGGGTATCTGGCGGTAGAACTAGGGACTGGGAATGTTATCCTTCACTGTGTTTCTCAGTCAGCAGCATGGCCCAGCTGTGTAACTTTGGGCAAGTTGCATAGTCCCAAAGTGCCCCCAGAAAGGAAGGGTACTCTCTATCTAGAAAACCCTGGAAAGGGTCACCACGAGTCAGAGCTAACATGAAGGTGTGTAATTATTATTTACTCTGAGATGATCCTACTCTATTGCACTAAAATAAATGCCCAACTGAACAGTGACTAATAGTGACAGAAAATAAACCCAACACCTGTTTCAGAGTTTAGTCCAGGCTTGTCCAACCCGTGCCCCGTGGGCCACATGCGGCCCAGGTTGGTTCGTAATGCGGCCCAGTGCAATTTTTTATTTTTAAAGAAATTTCAAAGTTTCAAGTTACACTGCCGGTGCTTGGGGCCGGGGCATGTCACAACGGTGGGGGGGGGAGAGGGAAGGAAGGCAGGAGTGGGAGGGGAGAGGGGGGCTGCGTGACTGCATTGTGCCATCCCTGTCAATAGGTGGACCCCCTCCCGGCCCCATAAAGCCGCCAGAGTCGAAGCTGGCAGCCTCTGCTGTCTGAGATTGCAGCTGCCGGTAAGCGCGCTTGGAGCACGTCTGCAGAGGACGGTTAGGGCTGCCCCCCCCATGCGACCCAAACCAAATGTATGTGTGGCCCAAACCAATTTTTCCTCTTCTAATGTGGCCCAGGGAAGGTGAAAGGTTGGACACCCCTGGTTTAGTCTTTTGTATAACTAGGGAAACCAGGGAAAAAATCCCGATGCTTTCTCCTCCAGATAAAGTTTCTGAAATCCATCCCCATGACAGTGCCAGATGGTCTGAAATAATTTTTTTAAAAAAAGTGGAGAAAGGTAGTTTTGAAACATACGTACTTAATGTAATAGGTTTATGTTATTTGGGAATCATATTTATTTGTGTGGATGTTTATATATCATAGCAATAGGTTAATGGCAGACTGTACTCTAGTGCTCCAGTGGCACCTTCTCAATCTATGTTTCCATCCTTGTTATTGGTTGCTTTGCCAAACTGTTTATTAACAGACACAAACGGACAAAAAAAGAGACTGAGAGGCTGACCTATTTGAAATTCTTATTCTAGCCTCTGTTTCTTCTTCCTTTTACTAACATAGCAGTGTGTGATGTTCTGAGAATCTACTCCAGCCTGACACGAGGATTCTGGGTAAAATCGGTCACCTTGATCAAGCCGTCTGGCCCAATGCTGCGTAAAGAACATAAAACAGACATTTGCTCAATCAGCAGGACCTGTTCTGCATGAAACAAATATTCTACATTTTCCTCTTTCAAATACAATTGAGGCAGCTTTCTCTTTAAAAAAAAAACGGGATCCCTTTACCACTAAAAATGATAAAATGTAAATCTTAGAAGTACGTACATTTGATATAGGCAGTAACTGTTTGAAGAATAGACTGAGTTGATTAATGCCAGAGGGGGGCAGCAGCCATGCATATTTTGCCCTGAGGCTTTTCATTCCTGGCACTTTTTACAGAGCCCAAGGACAGAAAAATTACTGTTTAACTACAAATGTGTAGTGGTGGAATTTTTGCTGTCAGTAGCCGTGACAATAGCTTTAACTGTCAAATGAGGCAGAGAGGTGAACATTCTATCTCTTTCTTGTGAAAAATTGTAGTGGGGGGACAGTGGGGAGTTTGGGGAATAGATAAAACAACAAAGCCTGTGCCCAATTCTTTTCTTTCCGAAACAATTAGGACTAGATTTGTAGGAACATTACCATAGTGCAACCAGCTTGGAAAAGCAACTTAAATTCCTAATAGTTCAGGATAAAAAAAAAAAAAAAAGAACAGCAGAAAGCTTTTAGATGTTTAATTAGTCAACCAATGACATTTTTCTAGTCTTGTGAGTCCTGTGATAGGTATGTGAGGGTGCTTAACATTACTCTGCATATTGTGTTCACCTTCCACTATATTCTTACAAACAAGCTGGTTGCAGGGATTAGCTGTAGTTTTTCCCCCTCGCTTGGTACAAGCTACTGCACTCAACACCTGGCAACAAGTTAGCAGGTGGGGTATAAACAGAGAGATTTACCTTGACAAAATATTTGGAGATACTGTTACTTACATCTCCTGTTCAATGTAGTTCAGCATTCGGCTAACATGAGATGCTGAGATCTCTCCATCCACTTCCGCAATGTAAGTGTAGAGAAACTGGAAAGTGCTGAAAGGGATGCGAGGGGGTCCACTGTCATTCTCGTTGGATAAAACTTCACATATTATCTTCAGAGTTTTTGCAATAGTCTGTTCAAAAAAGAAACAGAATGGGCATCAAGTCTGGCATTCATAACAGAGCAAATCAGTAGCATTTGTTTTTACATATGCTGTCACACAATTTAGTGTCATGGAGCAGAATTGTCTTCCTGACTTAACAGAACTGTTACAGATGTCAGGCAAGAATTCCTGAGTACTTTAGCTCTACGGTAGACCCTAGATTTAGTAAAGCAACCCAACGTGGTGTAGTGATTAATGTGTCTGAATCAGGAGGGGGACACCCAGGTTCACATCTCCACAAAGCTATGAGGCTGTTGGGTTGTAATGGACCAATCACACTCTTTCAGTTTGACTTGCTTCACAAGGCTGATATGTGGTCCATATGAAATAGGAGAACCTTGTACAAAATGCATTTCACTAGGGAAGCTTACATTTATACGGTACATAGCTTCTTGCAATAATTTCTACCAGGACAGAAAGCCTTTACAAAGATGTATTTTTATTATTAGGGATATTTTTCTAGTGTGCTAAAATGTATCTATGGCCTTGGCCACATGGTGGAGTTACTATACTTCTGATGATTTAGGTGGGGTTAAGTACACTTTGATTTATCTTGGAATATATATGTTTTTAATATACCTTTGTTGACCACATTACAAAGTGTGCTTAATCCTACCTAAATCATTGCCTCATGGTATAAATCTCTCTCCTTCTCCTTCCTTGTCTCAAATTGCTAATCTGGATCTATTTCCCTTTCCTCAGCACTATGAATTTTTTCCCTGGTTGTATGCCAGCGACTAGTACATTTTATATGTTGCCTAAAGCTTGTGTTAAGAATAAATTGTGCAAATAAGTACAATGAAGAATGTACATTGACTGAAAGGATCCCCCCCCCACTCCCTGATAGTTCAGAAGCATTGGCTGAGTTTAGAAAACAGCGAACAGGCAGAGCTAAAGATTCTTCTTGTCCCACAAACGGGCTAGAAACAGTAATTCGAAAGCATGTTTATACAAATCCTGCCATCCATTCTGGTGGCAACACACTGCTAAACATTCAAATGACCAAAACAAACAAACAAATAAGACCACCCAAGATCAGTTTATTCTAGCTGTTCTTTCTTTTTAGCTCACCTGAAGTCAAAATCTTCTGTGAAGTCACAATTATCTTCACGGCAGCTAACTGTAATGTTACAAATATAAGATTATGACTTCAGGTGAGGAAAATATGGAATGCACAGATGAATTCTCAGAGACAAAATGCCAGGTTCATAAAAAGTTCCCCTGGTAAAACAGATTGAGGGACAGGGGAAGACAGAAAGTACAATAGATTACAATCACATATTATGAAATACGTTGTATGTGTAAACTCCTCATGGGTTGCTAGTTGTGTCAACGTACTGTATATTTATTGCTTAAAAAGTCCAAGCTTTCAATGGCAATATCCTGGGCCATCTTCATCAGGGTAGGCAAGATATCAACTAAAGCAAAGCTAACCTTTGTTGTAACTAGTTTCTGTTAATACACATAACCATTACATCACTAGAACTTTTAGCATACACTATAAAGAGATTTTCATAGGACTAGATATACTTCCATAAGTCAGCCACACCTTCAGAACAAGCCCAGAGCACTGGGATTCCATTATGAAACTAAGACAAAGTTTAGTTCTGAATTGTCATTTACATAGTACTCATTATGTCTACAAAACTTTTTATTACAAGTTTTCTTTGCCCTCATTAACAGCCCTGTGAGATAGAAAATCCCAAACCTAAGCCCAATTGAGTTTTATCACATCCTTCTCATAGGCAATGCCTGTGTGTCTAACTAGATGTTAAGGGGAATGAATTTTGTGTGATAAACATGTTTTCCCTCTGTTAACATGAATTTTTCAGAGACTTGTGTCTCAGCAATCACGTTTGCAAAGTACTGTAAGCTTTTGTTTACCTTCCAACTCAAGAGTCACAAAACAAAACCCAGCTAAGTGGATGATGCCAAAAATAAGAAATTGTGTATGTGGCATGTATCTTTCAATATTCAAAGGAGCACTGAAGGCTAATAACAGAGAAGGAAGTAGAAGAGCTTCTTCTGGAAACTTATTATTAAGGAAAGTGGCTGATTTTATGTAAGGACTTGGCAATCCCGCACTGACCCATAGGGTTCCATGGTGGAATGGTTTATACACTTCATTATTCCATCATTAACAGCTCCTGAAACTTCATTTTATGCTTGGTCATTTATGAGTCATCTGTAATAATATTAAATAATAAGGACCAGGAAGAGTGTGTGAAGAAAACAATTAGTATAAAGTTAAACGGCAGAGGTAAGGTTTTTTTAAAAATCAACGTTGTCAAACCCCTAATACTTTAAAACAAAACCAATGACCTTATCAGTGAGAATTTGGAGAACTGTAGATTATCCACAGTGGGATCTACTGCCTGAAAGCTCCATGTTTCAAGACAGATCTTTCCTCACTTGATCCTTGAGAACATCTAAAATGATATGTAATATACCATTATTTTTGGACACTGCGTATTAAGAAAACACTTTAAAGCAAGTTCAATAAAGCACTTTAGAACATGATTCCTTAGCTCATGGTAAGGTGTGAGGAGCTCTCTGGAGTGTTCACGAGGGATAAGATTTTCATATTTTGGGGGTTATAAATGCCACAATTCTCCATTCTGGGACTTCTATCTGATAGATACCTCACAGACACCTGAAAGTAGCTCACTTGGGAGAAAGGCTGCAATTAGAAAACTTTGAGGTCTAGCTAGGTCTAGCTCTGCCTTGCTTCCTGTTCAGAAAGAAATCTCCCAACTAGTACTGGGGCAAAACCAGCAATCTTGGGTGGAACAAAGCCTAACTACATATGCCTCAAAGCCTTTGACTTGAGATCTTTCTTCCAGGTGAGTCACATTTGACTGTCTGTAAGATATCTGTCAAGCAGAACTCCCAAAATGGAAAATTATGGGCTATGTAGTCCAAAGACCCCATCCTTAGTGTTCACTATAAATGCTACTGAATTATTCCTATTATTAGAAGCCATTTATAGTCTTATAGTAACTCATCTGCCTAATGACAGTTTTTATTAACAGAATAGTGTTTCATACTAGCTCCAGTCCCAGACATGAAATAAGTTACACCAAAATCAATGCTTTGGATTAGGTCAGTGGTTCTTAACCTTTGTTACTCGGATGCTTTTGAACTGCAACTCCCAGAAACCCCAGTCAGGATAGCTGGTGGTGAAGGCTTCTGGGAGTTGCAGTCCAAAACTCCTGAGTAACCCAAGGTTAAGAACCAGTGGATTAGGTAGTACTACGATTGGAAATTTGAAATAAAAGCAACAAGGACATTTTTGTGCATGTTCAAGCAGAAGACTTGCTTTGGGGATATTTAATGAATTACCAAGTTTTTATATATATATAAACTTGGTAATTCATTAAATATTCCCAAAGCAAGTATATAACTTGGTAATTCAGTGGCACAATATATATATAGTGTATTGTGCCACTGACATATTCCTTTTATTCTAACTATGTATGTAGAATGCTGGCCAAGATCCTGTTCTATAAATCATGCTTGCATAAGGGTGATAGCATCATCTGGCAAGATAAATTTTCAGTAATTAAAGAGTTCCTGCTCTTCTCCTAGGCTTGACATTGCTTACTCACAATGATGCTGATCACAGTTGAGTCAGATAAGCACAGGAGAAGAGGAGGAACTCTTTAATTCTTAAAATTCTCCCCCTGCCTTTAATGTCCTCATACTTAATACAGGAATAGGATTTTGGTCCATATTTTCCTTGGAATGCATAACACATTTTTGATTGCTAAGAGTGGCCTCACTAATCATGTGTTATTCTCTTAAATTAGTTGAATTCTAAACTTCAAATTGCTAAAATAAACATTAATGTGTACTTTTAATCTAGACACGAGGGCAAGTGTTTTCTGCATGTGACCCATGGAGACCACCAGTCACATATAACGTAGAGACTCCCACGATGAAACACCCCTGGAACCTGTACCGCTGCCATGTAAATAGGAACTTCTTTAGGGGCAACTCAAGTCCTCCTACTCTCACACACACAAGGAAGAAAAGAGCATGTAGCTACGCTGACAAACAGAGTAGTGAATCACCTTCAAAGCAGGTGGGCTTAGATGTGTTGTGTGATACATGTCTTCTAATGGCACAGAGATCAAGGAAAACCTCAGTAAGGAAGAGAAGTCCGCCATTGAGGACAATGTTGAAGCTAGAGCCTTCCCTACAATCAGTTGGTGCCCTCTGAATATGGAAATTCCCCAAAAACCAGCAGTGAGAAACATGGCCAGTGTGAACAATGATGGGATTTGCAGCTGAACAGCACCTGTCGCTTACTCCTGCTGTACACTACCAACTTCAGTTTGATCTAATCAAGCAGGAGGATAAAGTGCCAGAATCCTGGGTTGCAGGGCAATGACACCCAAGGTTGGAAATGCCATGTTTCAGTGCTTTCCATGTGGACCAAATTCCTTGAAAGAAGAAAACTATCACATCAAGAAAAGAACTGCAAGATAGCAGAGCTTTAGTGAAGTTGTTTTTAAAACACTATAGTTGGTAAAACTAGGTTTTCATGTCTAGTCCAGGTATAGATGTTATTGCAGAGAAGGCTGCATTGAGACTTGGTCCTGATCACAAATAAAAGTAGGCATTGCTTACCTTCAGATACTACATGACATGCTAATTTGAATTATTTAAGGAATCTAAATATGCTGGCAATCCAGAGAATAAACTTACAACTCCAAGAGAGCTGCAGGCCAAAGCTAAAAACTTCAGCCACTCAATTTCTTCAGTAAAACGGCCAACGTTCATGACACTGTCAAACAAATCTGTTGGGAGGTTGAGAACCTTCCACATTTGAGCCAGTTCATCTACGTGGACAATCAGCCTTCCGCCCACCTGGAAAATAAAAGGAAATCTGTTCACAACTTAAGAAATGGCATTTTCTAATAATTTTCTCCTTGACTTACATTTTTCAAAGGTAATAAAATGTTCTGTTCCATCTGTGACAGGGGTGGGGAATTTGTGGCAGTCCATAAACTATGGTACTGGAGTTCCCAGCAGAGGCCATGCTGGCTAGAGATTATGGGAGTTGCAGGCCAACCACAGAACAGTTTATTATAATGCCTGGTTATATTGTTTTTTAATGGATGCTTGTTTTTTTTATTGGAAAATTGGGTAAAATGTAATAAAGAGAAATCTGAAGAGCCTCATGCTTTCCACTCCTACTATGGGAAATACTTAACTCAGGGATGTAACTAAGGGTCACAGAGCTGGGAAATGATGAAACAGAAAAACATTTGTTCCACAATCACTGATATTTTCTCCATAAAAAGAGAAGTGTGCTGATTTCAGTCTCATGTATCACATGGATCCTGAATGTGCTAAATGAACACAGCATGGCTGAGCTTATATATCACAGATATATTGTCATTAGAGAGAATTTCTTAACTACAGAAAATGACTGATTGTCACAATAGTTCCCCCCCCCATAATTTACTTGTACAAAGTCGCTCTCTTTATTTTGTAATTGATCTTTGAGGTCTAATTAAAGCTTATTTTGGAGATCTATTTTCTAAGGCCGAAAGGTCTAACTGAAGAACATATCTGCAACACTAATGTTGATTTCAGCTCTAATGACAGCTTAACTATGATGTGTAGTTTGACCTTCAGAGTTCCATGAAAAACAGAGTATAAGGGTTTGGAAACTATTTGAGAATAAATGTCATGTCAGTATCCTTGGACATACCTTTCAAGGGGATATCAAATAACAAGAATAATTGGAGGGACATAAGAGGATTTGGGAACAAATATAGTGTAGTTCTTGAACTGAGGTCTGAGAAATCAGGGCCATAATAAGCCATTCCGCTCGCTCGGTGCTCTTTAACTAGTCATTCACTCTCAGCAGATCCACTCACAGGGCTATTGTGAGCATAACACAGGGGAGTGTGGAGTCATATATGCTGCCTTGAGCTCACAGAAGAAAAGGCAGGATCAAACTAATTAATAAATAACAAATTGCTACCTAATTTAATGAAGTGGCATGTTGTAGGTGATTTTATGTAGCAAAACATGCCTGGCCAGAATATGGGAGCTGTTTCCTGAAAACACAAAATGATGCCATTGGTCTGTAAGAAATGCTTTCTTTAAAATAAAGAACCCCCCCCCCAAAAAAAACCCCATTTGCCCCAGAAATAAGCAGGGGGAGTGGACTACATATATGTCTGACATTCCCTATTCCCATGCTGCCTCTGAAGATGAACAGAAACACTGCCTCCTTCACCAGATAGAGATAAGAGATAGGCTGAAGGGAGGCCAAGAAGCTTGCTCTCTACGTGCTCAGGGCCAAAAGGAGGTTGGATGGAGAATGTGGCCCCCTCAGGAAGAGTCTTTAGCTAGGACTAGGCAACCTGGAAGAGGATTAAAGTACTGTGTTTAAAGAAAAACAGCAATGCAGAGTCTATGTCTATGTAAATGTTGGCAAATGGTTTTTAAAGAAATTAATGAAATAAGCAAACTAAAATTGTATGTCCTAAAAGAGTGGTTTAATTAATATCTGAAAAGGAGATAGATAAGTGAATGATGAAAACACTTGTTTCTTATTTATTAAGAGTGTCACAACTGATTATTGCTAGGAACTGGAAATCAGCTCACAATATAACATGAAGTGATTGGTTCAGAGAAGTCTGGGATATAACACTTAATGATAAGCTTATATGTAATATAACAGTTAAGAAGAGGATAAATATTAAAAGATGTGTTTGAAGATGGGGATAATTTATTGCTGAAGCATTTTTGGAAGTAAAAGAGTCATGCAGCTGAAGAATTTGAATGTGACCATCTAGATTCTTAAATTCTAGTGGCATGTGGGCCTGCTTCCTTTCGGAATAATATATTGTCTTCCTCCTTTGTCTAGTCTAGATCAGTGGTCCCCAACCTTGGGCCTCCAGATGTTCTTGGACTTCAGCTTCCAGAAATCCTGGCCAGCAGAGGTGATGGTGAAGGCTACTGGGAGTTGGAGTCTAAGAACATCTGGAGGCCCAAGGTTGGAGACCACTGAGATAACACATCCAAAAAGAAAAAAGTGGGGAAGGGCCTTAACAAAAGTTTTAAACAACAAGACTATCATCAAATACTCTTTTTAAACTTATTTAAATAGTTTTTATTATTATTATTTTAAAGTATTTATTGAATGAACATGGAAATAACAGCAACAAATGCAGTACTTTTAATATTGCCATACATCAGTTGCTACTAGCATTAATTACGTAAGTTAACACAAAATGTGCAAGAACATATTTTGGCTTCATATGACACGATCTCCATTTTCCCATTACGAAACCTAGTCTTTCAGCTCTTCTGATATGCGATACGAATTAATATAACTCTCCCAGTGATTACAGAACATACTGAAGCAGTTTTCAAAACTATGTACCTATAATTGCATAAGGAACCTCTGCTGTGCTGTATCTGCTTGAGAAGTGAAAAAATCTTTATCATACTGTTTCCCCACTTTTTAAATATGCCAAAAGGGCTGAATAAAATTGTTCTGCTATCGCGTAGGGTAGTTAAGCTCTCTGGGTGGCGGCAAGCAAATCATGATTTGTTACTTTTGGATCTCTACTCAATTCGTATCTGTATTCACTTAGTATATTACACACAGAATGGATTTTTTACCTATAGCAGGAAAATTAAGCAGCTACTCTCAAAGGAAATCCAATTAAAGCATGATTGAAGAACCATCATAATTGTTTAAACAGTCCTATTATTTAATGCATGGACTGCAATCTTGTAACTTTTTCCAATCACCAAATTCTACAATGGTGTTCTCTTTCTGTGCATCTTATCACAGGAATAAAGTCCTGCCCTAATTCTAAAGACAGTTACAAATACTGTCCAAAAATTGCATGGAGTAGTTGAATATATATGCATTACAAACACTCAAGCCTCTGATGTACTTGCCCCAAAATGGAAAGGAGATGTTTCTTACTCGCTGATGTAAGACCTTCAAGAGCTCTGGAGTAAGCTCCGCATAGTTTGATAAAGGCACTCGGTCTGGCCGTTCTCTTACAGGAGGAGTCTCTCCACGGGCCATGGCACTGAAATAACTAGACAGAAAGATTAAACGAGTGCATGCATTTTGCCAACAGCTGTGAGCAATAAACAGGGCTGAGATGTTGGCAGATTGGTTCAGTACTGTTTATTTCCAAATATATCAAAGCTCAAAGTGAGCTACAGCACAAACAAAAGCAACAATAATCCTATACTCATATAAAGAAATCTACATGGGGGGGGGAGAGAGAGAGACAGAGACAGAGACTGAAAGGGCATAAACCAAACACACAGGATGCCACTCTGTCTCATGGTGGGATAGCTGACTGACAGTGGAAGCCACTTTCCTTCATGGGGGAATAGCAATTAATTCACTGTTAATGTGCATGACAGTATAAAAACAATAATATCTTGGGTAAATCTAGGAGATAAGACCTTAATGGGCTGGGGAGAGACTTAAACTGACAGGAGGTAAAATAGAATAACATAAAGGTCACAGAAGGGGGGGTGTTAGTAAACAAAGCCCTTACGGTTTCTTAAGTACTGGAAACGACCCATTGCCACCTTCTTCCCCTCTTTTCCTCACTCACTGCCATCTGGTTTTTTTCTTTTAAGGATTATTGTGGGTTTTAATATTTCTATTTTCATTTTCACTTTGCTATTTTATGAGTTGTAACCCGCCCAGAATAGTGCTGTAACACTAATGGGAGTGGGATACAAAATGAATAAATAATAAATAAATTGCTGAGGACATTTTGCGTTCTTTTGAATGAATGTCATGATGCCCTGATACTTTGGCCTTTCCTCTCTCTCTCTCTCTCTGTTTTTTTAACCACAAAGCCTTTAGCTGTTGACATAATTTAATTATGTTTTACTGAAATGAAATGGATTGATTTCCAAGTAAATGCATTTACAACTAGCAGTAAGGCAAGTATAACTGTGTTATTGTTAGCTTTTTAAAAATCTTACTCTCTCTTTAAAAGTGAAATAAAGCTACTCACACTGGAAATAAATATAAAAATCTAAAGGAATTAACAACATGAAGTGTTATTTCTGTCTTCCTTGTGTTTGAATAAAAGCTGAAAGAAATAATGGAAATTGGAGAAACTGGAAGTCTTGTAGGACCTTTAACATCAACTGATTTTTATTTTTTATATGTTTTTGTGTCTCCAAGGCCACTTTTCCAGATGATCAGAGTGACTGTTTTCTGGGAGAGTTTAAAACTGTTGGAAGGAAGGGTGTGCCAGGGGAGGACAACAATATGGTGTGTTGGTCCTGGGTGAAGAAGATCTCGAACAGACAAAAGGCAGTGATACAATTTAGGAAGACTTGTCTTATAATGGTGCCAAAATGTTGCCCCATTCTACAACATAATGGGCAACTAACTGTGATTTCTATGCTGTACCAATGCAAAACTGAGATACTAAAAAGCTAGGCGGGGTGGAATGTATAGCCTTTCAGACATCACTGGATGGCAACTCCCATCAACTCCAGCCAGGATGTTGTTGTTACGTGCTGTCAAGTTACTTCTGATTTACAGTGACTCTGTGAGTAACCAGTCTCCAGTGTGTCCTGTCCTTAACGACTGTGATTTCTATGCTGTACCAATGCAAAACTGAGATACTAAAAAGCTAGGCGGGGTGGAATGTATAGCCTTTCAGACATCACTGGATGGCAACTCCCATCAACTCCAGCCAGGATGTTGTTGTTACGTGCTGTCAAGTTACTTCTGATTTACAGTGACTCTGTGAGTAACCAATCTCCAGTGTATCCTGTCCTTAACGGCAATGCTCATCTCTTGCAAATTCAAGCCTATGGTTTCCTTTAGGGAGTATGCAAATTCAAGCCTGTGGGTTCCTTTAGGGAAAAAATCCATCCGGTATTTGGTTTTCTTCTTTTCTTGCTGCCTTCAATCTTTCCTAGCATTATTGTCTTTTCTAGAGAATCCTGAGTTCTCAGGATGTGCCCAAAGTATGAACAGCCTCATTTTCAACATTTTGACTCCAGAGTTGATTTGCTCTAGGACCACACAGCTGCAAAGCTATCCTCCAGCATCACATTTCAAATGAATCATTTTTTCCCTGTCAGCTTTCCTTACTGTCCTGCTTTCACACCCATACATGATGTTCCAAAATACAATAGTGTGGATGATCTTGATCTTCACCACCAGTGGCATATTCTCATACTTGATGATCTTTTCCAATTCCTTTATTGCTGCCCTTCCCAGTCAGGATGGTAAGTGGAACATAGGACTTGCAGTCAAGAAAAATCTGAAGGGCCACAAGTTGTCTCTTCCAACTGTGAAGTGAACTTAAACCCTGTTCCAGAACAGTCACATTAATATCTTCAAACTATCTGAAAGTGTCTAATGGCATTTAGTTCTTTGCAGTTCTGAAAGCTATTGCATAAAGTTCAGCTGTCCTTTGTATACCTGAAAGTGGTTTCACTGGGGCTTGCTCCTGAGTTGACTCCCAGCCCTGCCCTCTTAGTTTTGACCCTGCCTACTTTATCCTTGGCTCTGCCCCACACCTGAACTACTATGGCCCCCAAGACCCTTTCCAGTTTGGAATTTGACTTTCAGAATGAAAAATGTTCCTCCCCATTTGCCCCAAATGAAATACAGACCTAAAGGATCATAGTGAGTCTGCAGTTCCTGGCTTCTTTCCCTGAATGTCATCCTACCCAGAGGTTGTAATAGCAGCTACTCTACAACCCTTTACAAAGCAACACTGACCTTTCCCCAATGAAAGATATTAGCTGCAAGCTCAGTCTTAGCCATTTTTGTCTCAAAAATAAATTCCATGTTTTGAAAAAGAAGAGAAAATAAAAACTGTAATGCAAGATACAGTAGTATAAAATATGAATTCCACATAGAATTCATCCTGGCCTGACAAATCTGCAAGTAATTATAGCAACATATCTAAGCAAAGCATTTTAGGGGAAATTTTTACTTACTCAGAAGACCATTGGATCAGATCCGTAGGCTGACTCCGAATAGCAGCTTTTGTAAACTGCTTCAGCAAATCTGGAAGCTCTGGAGGTATGCATACTTGTTTGTCTGTCTGTGGCATAATTACTGTGCCTGTTAGAAAAAGAGTAATTTTGGAAGCACAATTTTAAAACTACTGATGTATACAGGAACATCCCCTTCCTACCTTTTAAAGGCAGGCTTTCCCACCCTAGTATCCAGACTGTCATACAAGTGATACCTGGTGGAATTCGTTATTCTCATATATATTAAAGGAGGAAGAGCCTTGTTCTTTTTAAAAAGCTAGCTACTACAGAAAAACTGGGCAGTGGCAATAGAGGGGGTACCACTTCTTCTAATTTCCCTGCTTGACTCCATTTTGAAGCAACTTCCAGTGATTAAAAAGGGGGGTTTATAGTACAGTCACACACATTTCAATGTAATGTTCAGGTTGGCTCTCTGCACTCATGGTCATGACTGTATGTTAGGGCAAGTACATTTCATGCTATGTTTTTCACAGTCATTTCCATAGAACACTCACATGCAACAACATGTTAAAATTCAGTACAACTCTGGCTTGTCAGGGACAAGGCAGGATGAAAGGGCACCGATGTTACAGTGACCAGTTCATCCTGCTGCAAAAGGGAATGGCTGAACAAACTGAGGACTTTGTTATTTACATCCCAACTCAGCAATCTGTTCTGATTCTTCCAAAACAAGCAAAAAGAGAGAGAGAGGTGTGTGTGTGAACCACAGTGCACATTGACTTTGGAGAAAGTCCCAGTGAATTTAGTGCCGCTTGCTTCTGAGTAACATGTTTAGGATTGTGCTGTTAGCCATTTTATATTCAAGTTGAACAGTTTGGTAAAAAGAAGATTCTCCTAATACATGTTTATGGGAGCATTTTCACCGATAATTTCCACTCTCTGTGAGTTTAATCTTGGATTAATCAATCTGTGCTGTCACAACCACTCAGTCAGATTTACAACCCTGCATGAACTTTCAAATTTTAATTTGTTAGATCTACTTTTACCATCCTTTAATCACTCAAGTTCTATTAGCTGAATCATTAGTATGTAAATATCTATTCATTTTCTTTCAATCTTGAGTACATCAAAGGCAAACTGAGAGGTGTATATCTTTTCATCTGGACAGGTGGTGGTGTAAAAAACATTGTAAAGGAAAGTTCTAAGATATAAAGATGTCTGGGTGAGAAAATACAAAGAACTAATTTGAGCTGTGATGTTGTTGCTGGTAGTGAGACCACTGTATGGCCAAGAATGATGACAGATGGATGTGTGCAAATTGGTGTATAGGTTATATGACGTTTTCCATTTTTTAAAAAAATTCAGGAGTTATGAACTTGTTCTGTTGCTAAAATGACAGCATTTCTATGAGAATAACTAGGTCCAGAGTCCTGGGATTAATTCAGCTGCAACTCAGAACATGCAAAACTAGTCTTGTCTTAACTAAGTCTATGGCTCTTTTCACTTGCTGAAGAATAAAGTAGGTTCCCTGACTTGGTCCATAATATTTAGCAAAAGGAAATATGCTAGTAAGTGGGTTGAAAAGAAACTTGGTTTCCTGTCTAAGTGCTCAGGTGTCTGTTTCATTTGTGTGAGACATAAGGTCGCCTGCAATGTAGGCTCATGTGTACTAGTAAAACCAGCATAAGCTGAGTGGAAAAGACACTGAATAAACACCATGTATAAGAGTTATCCAATCCTGTTGCATGTTGAACTAGCTAAAAATAAAAAGCTCAAGGAAATTAGGAAGCTTTGATGGGAAAAAGTTTAGAGGATCTTTATAAAGACATTCCTCTCCAAAGCTGCTTCACAGCATACTCTGTAAGAACCATTGACTCCAATCCCTAGCTCATAGGTTTCGATGACTGCTGCTGCCCTCTCTCACCAACCTATGTCTGTTAGTTCTATTTACACTGCACATTGACAACTGTTCTCATAATCACATGCTAGTCTCTCTTAATGACAAATTTGTTTCCGGTCTTTGTCATTGGCTATTAACATCTGTTTCGCTTAGGGATAAGTGAAGTGGGTTAAGAAATCTGCTCCCAATATGTGTTTTCCTCAGTTACCGGAGGCTGAGACGTCTCAGCCTCTTCCTGAAGATCACCCAGCTGCTGATTTTGGGACAGTCACACCTGGCTCTATCGGGGGTCTTCACGCTGCTTTCCACCCAAGACGGGCCCTCAAATTAACTCAGCGCAGGGCCCTTTGTTCAACTGCAGCTCTTGGTATCCTAGCAACTGCTACTCTACCTCACAAAGGCACTAATTCTGTCAGCTGGTGGAGCTGCCAATAAGTAGCAAGAGATCTGAAAAGGTCATGGGGTTCTCAGTGAGAAGAGCACGGCCTTTATAAGGGAGGGGTTGACAAGCCTCAAACGCACCATGTAGGATAGGTATTTTATTGAGATTCTAGAGCTTTTAATATATCTCAAATAGCCACAAAATGGGGTTGCTAAAGAGTTATATGGTTATATTGCATGATCATATGGGCGTGTCTATTTATTTTCTCCTACTATGGAAACTGTTGCCCATAGTCCCGGTTTCATTCTTGTCAACATCTGTCATGTATACTCTTTTGTGACAAGGAACCTTGAATTGTTGGGCTATAGCAGAGATGAAACAAAGATGACAAGTAGGAAGAATTCAAATCAGAAGGCCAAGCTATATGAAACACCAGCTTCTGCCCAGTCTCCAAACAAAAGAAAGCTTATTTGCAGCTTGGTGAACTAGAGAAATCTCATGATAGGATTTTTAAAAAGCTGTTTACCTTCCATAGAAGCTTCTAATAGTAAAGGATCTTTCTCTCTGATATGAATAAAGAAAGAAAATGTAAAGCTTATGTCTTTTACAATTGGCCCACAAATAGAAACAAATAGAATTGTTTCTATAGAGCAAACTATGAAAAGACTGTGGAAAAGACCACTAGAAGATTTGCAGATATTGTCATCTTTAAACCATTGGGTCACACTTCATACAGTCCTTGCAAATTTCAGAATAAAGGTAAGTTGTGTTTTTTTTAAATACCACAGGGGATCATTGAAGAATGCCCTCAGCAAGTTCCAAATTTGAATTCCTTTCTGAACTCTTTGTTTTATTGATCCGGAATTGTTCTACGTACTTAGAAAAGCATCCTCCACCTGCCAAAATCCACTAGTGACATATCCCTTTGGGGCCTTTTATATCATTTTCCAAGGTGGCCCCTCTGACTGATGAAATCAGAGAGACTAAGCTGAAGGGAACCTCTACAGCAGGGATGATGAACTTCTGGTTGTCCAAATATTGCTGACTTCAGCTCCCACCAGCCTCAGCTAGGATGTCCAGTGGTAAGGGATGATGGGAACTGTGGTTCAACAACATCAATAACCAAACCATGTCTAGCAACCTTTACAACAGGACATTAAAGACAGCCTTTTATATTAGGCCTCAAGGAAGCTTCTAGTTCAATAATGCTTTATTCAGTTCTTTCCAACTTTTGTAGCTAAAAAAACAAACAACCCAAATAAACTAATATGTATTGAAAATTATTTTTAAACTTCAAGTCATTGAGATGGTCTGACACTTCTTTCCAGTGTCTTTTCTGAGATTTTCCTTCTGTGCAGGACACTCTTGAACTGGGGTTCCCTATGGTTACTGAGTTTCTGCCATACATTGGATAGATGTTAAAGGTAGAGTAAGTTTTTTTTTTAAAGCTATCTTTGTGGTGCTCTTATAGTATGAGACTTTTTCATAAAGATTGTCCTCTTGTTCTGAGGGACTTTAAACTCAGGCAATATCACAAGCAGAGTATTTTTGATAACAGTTTTACCCTTTGACTAGCCCTGAAATTAGATTGCTGTTGTCCCTTCCTTTCCTCGCCCCATACTTTAAATTTCTTCATATCAGGTTGCTAGGGTTTTATCTGAGAAGGTGATATCTGTAAAGGGGTGTGCAGCTGAAGACCCAAATATAGTTCTGCTGGAGATGGTCCAAAAAACACAGGGGGGGGATTTATTTCCTTCCTAAGCTAAATGGGAAGGACCATCTGTTGTTCCCCACAAGTTTGTAAAGAGTCTGTATCGCTTTTCCAGTTCTTTGTGCTTTGGGCAAGTGTGATAAATTATTGCAGGGTGGCATGCTAGACAACCACAGTACTTCCTGCGGGCATGATTATGATAAAAGGTATCTCTACAGTCTTAACACAAGAGGCATGGCCATACCCTTTAGTATTGCTAGATCTCTTACCTTTCAGGCAGTGGTTTGTGGGGTCAGAGTAGGGGTGGGGAGTTCTGTTCCATCATTACCTTCTCTTTAGGGGGAAGATGGGGGAATGAAGTGCACTCAAGTAGTTCTTAAAAAAACAGTGGAGAAGGTAAGAGGGAGCAAAACTGGATCCATGTGACAGAGCTGCCCTGGCTTCATCACGTCTCCCTGCTGCCCCATTTCCTTGTTAATCTATGGAGGGCTTCAGGGACAGAGAAGGATAATGAAAGGACCTAACGTATGGATAATAATAAGAATCTTAGAACTGCAGACCTCGGGGCCCTCAGAGGGTCGGATTAGGCCATGAGTCATTTTCCTTTAGTCTGTGGAATAAAGTTGTCAAATAGTGTAGGATCAAAGTCACAGCTGTCCATTAAACCTTTACATGTGTCAGATAATGCAGAGCTCCATTAGCAGATATTAACATCTTTGGAACTCCACATCTGGCAAATACTGCTTTCCATTTTTGGGGGGAGGGTAACCATAATGAAATAAGGTATGAGTGTCTATTGGGCAATATTTCTGGATAATTAATCAATGTATGTATAACCCTTCCCAATCTTAGTCAACAAAATAGTCTGCTGGTATTTGTTGCCAAAGCTTCACAAGAAGATTTCCAGGCAGAAAAGATTTAAGAGCCTGCTTTCTTTGTTTTGATATATATCATATCAACCTTAATTTTCATCTAAGGTTTTTATTTGCATGCTAAGTTCTGGTTATGAAATGAATTGTTTCAGCCTTGACCTGCACTAAATAATGCCTTGATTCCCATTTAGATATTTTGAAGCATCCTGAGATATGTACATTGCCCTTTCAAAAGCAACCTGCAATAGCCCAGGAGTAAGAAGGTTTAGAATCCAAGGCTTTCAGATACAGTGAGTTGAAAGAGACAAGATTGCCAGTCCCTCACTTTCCATCCTGGGATCTAATGGTTTGAATCCCAAATCTTGTTCATGCACCCCTTGGGAAGTGCCACTTCTCTAGTGAAACAAAAAAATCTAGGTACTTCTTCCTGTTCCAACTTTCACAATTTGGCAGAAAAAGGACTGTTTTAAAAAGAACAATGGTTCTTAACACACTGTTAAAACATTTGATGACTTCAACCTTCTAGGAATACCCTTCTGGAACACTCTACAAAACCTTGTCAGGTGTTCGAGATCAGTACCCAAGGTAAGATGTCTATACTCTAGTTATAGGATAGCTATCCATGGTCCTGAAATTAAACCAAAAGCCCTTGATTTGTATCTCTATTGATTTTTTCTTTCACTTTTTGATTTTTCTAGGGTCTCTATTCTTGTCTTTCCTCTCTATTATGTTTCTTTAAGTCAGAAGGCAGGCCCTTTTGTTTGTGTGTGTATTTATGACTGAAATCAGTAGCAGAACAAGGGTGGAGGCTCTTCTGTTGCTGTCACACCATGTCAAGGCACTTCAGAATTATGGTAACCTTGTGAATTATGATGACCAAAAGGTCCAATAATTATCATGTTTAGGTCCTACAAACTAGTCTATGGCTTCCTTTACTGAATCAACTAATCTCATGTGTAGTCTCCCTCTTTTTCTGCCTTCAACTTTTCCCAGCACTATTGTGTCTTTGAGCGAGTCTTGTCTTCTCATGATATACCAAGAGTGCAATACCTTCCTGTCACATTCCCACCTGTCCCTTGATTGTTTCACCAAACACAGGGCACAAACTACATGTCTTTCAGCTGCCACCAGTTGATTACATCAACATTAAGTATTATTAATAATAGCGGTCCAGGTCATGTGTCATTTTAAATAGAACCAAATAGAAGTTGTTTATTAATACAGATGATGAAAGCACAATCTATGTCTTTAACTCTTAACAAACATCCCACTTGATCCACCCTCAACTGCCAACCCTCTTTCTCCTTACTTCAGACTCCCAGTTCCAAAACCTCCCTTCTCAATTCCCCCAAACTCCAATCTAATCTCCCCCTCCTCTGGCAGAGAATCTCATATCTCATGACTCCGCCTCTCCAGCACTCTCATTGGCTCATGCAGATAGCATATGAATATTCATGGCCTGGGTGGATGCCACACTTCCATTCAGTTATTTTATTTTCCAATGAGAATTCAGGCTCAATTTACTGTGTAACTCACTTATTTGTCTTTCTGGTGTCCAAGATATCTGTAAAACTCTCCTCCAGCTTTTGAATAAGTTGATCTTTTCCTTGTCCCCAGACCCACATTTGAACTTCTATCATAAGATTTTGTATTTTGTAGAAAAAAAGCTGACAAGTGGCTGTGAACAAAAAATTGGGGGAGTGCAGCTAGAGGTAAAATAGGAAAACTCTATGAGCATGTAATACTACCAAAAGGATTGACATTTCAGAATTATCTGTGTGAACTCAAGTTAGAAAGTTTTGCAGTTAGCCACTCAAACTAGGATATTGTTTCAAAACTTCAGCTGTTGGGTTGATGGTGTTTGAAGTAGTGCTGATTTCAGCTATTAGTGTATGTAATGAAAGGGAACCAGACGTCTAAGATGCAGTCCCACCTGTCCCTGTCAGCTTTTTATTATCTCATTTTCACATCTGTACACAGTAATAGGGAATGTCATAGTCATGGTCTTGGTCTTCAATCATGGATCAATATAATTCTCTTACATCCATATAACTATATTCATATAACACCACTTCCTTTATAGTTGCCTTTCTAAGTCTTAGTCTTTTTAAACATTTCTTGGCTGCAGTCTTCATTTGAGTTGATCACAGAATCACAGAAAAATTGAGTTGGAAGGGACCTATAAAGCCATCGAGTCTAACTCTTTGCTCAGTGCAGGAAATAACAATTGATAATTGAGGCAAGGTGTAGAAAATTCTTAAATTCAGATGTTTAATTGTCAACATTAAATTTGCATTATTCTTCTGTAAACATTCCTTTTGTACTCTTATCCAGAATATAAGTTGTGTATCAGAACAAAAAAGATTGTTACATGCCCATTCCTCTTAGAATGATTCATAGCTTTTCATGATTCATACAGTCAAAAACTTTACTGCAATGCACTTCTTTAATATGTTCCAATAACCAACATATATTTGCAATATGATTCCTAGTGCCTTTGCCTTTTCTAAATCCAACTTGAATCTGTGTACTTCTTTTTCTCCCTATATGGTTATAGTCTCTATTGTAAAATCTTGAGTATTACTTTGCTTGTATGGAAATTAATCTGATGGTCTTATAGTTGTTTTTGGCATCTCCTTTTTTTGGATGTATATTGGCAATTTCCAGTCAGTGGGATATGGCCCCTCATATTTGTTGGCATATTCTTGTTAGGATTTTCATAATTTTTGCCTCTGTATCTTGAAATAGCTATACTGATATTCCATCTATGGCTGTCAATTTATTTCTTCCAACTGCTTCAACAGCAGCTTTTACTACAATTTCTAAAACTGCAGGTTCTTGATGAAAATGCTGGTTTGCGTGTTCTTCTTCTTCTTCTTTTTGAAAGAATGTAATCATTATTTCTGTCCTGTGTATGTTCTTCAGTATATTGCTTGTCTTGTTTTTATTTTCTGTCTTGTCTTTATTTTATCCCAACCATATAATGGCCCAGATCCTATTAGTTACACCTACTAGTATAATGCAAGAAGTGTAAATCTTGTTGGTAATTTGCTGCAATTTAAAATGTTAACAGAGGCATTTGTTGTTGCATGACATGTCTGTAATGGACATTGAGTGACATCTACGTATAGAACTATCTCTTTGAACAAGATTATTAGCTTCACAGAATTCAGCAAATCACTCCCCCGCTTTGTTTATAACTTTTTCTCTCTCTTTCCAATCCAGTGATGTGTCACTTAGTGGCAAGCCAATGAAGCGATATGTCACTTATCAATAAAATTTTTAAAACTCCATATTTCCCCTACTTCCTACGAGACAGGAGAGGTTGCAGAGAAATGGAGATGGAGAGAGAGGAATGGGCTAAATAGGATTGCTTTGAAGTGCAGCATGTTTTCTAGTCCCAAAACTACCCTGTGCTTCCATGTGAATGCAAAAATCATTCCAAGGCATGCCGCACTTTGAAGAGACCCTATTTGGCCTGATCCGGCCCTGGATAACTTAGGAAGTTACAAGAATTGTAATAGAAGAAATTGACAACTTAAACTGAATGTATAAAGGAAGTTTTTAATCAGCCATATTGTACAGCTGCGTATAAAGCTGAGTAGGCAGAAGGCTGATGTAATTATTATGAGTTCACCTAGGACGAGGTAATGTTACTTGATTGGTCATTTGTACTATATATTGTACATAGGAATACAGACATGTGGGTGGAGAGTTGGAGAATTGCTAGAGGACATGTTGCTGGAGTATTTTGTGAAGATTGTGTGATGAGATGGGTTTTTGAGTTAAAATCTTGTAAGGAATATGGGGTTTGTAATTAAGAAATGAGCAAGACAGTTTCCATCTTGTTTCTTTGTATAAAGTATCTATGCTATGCTGACAGGTTGTTTTCTAGGCGAGCAGAGAGAATGTTATTCTGAGAGCCTGAGAAAAGGACTCGATGTGATTAGATAGATGGAAATTGTTGTGACTCTTTGCTAAACCACAGTACCCAAATAACATCTGGTGTGTATGGGAAAGAAGTCATGTGGTGCAACAGGACTGTTTGCCTAGTAAC